CTCACTCCCAAGCTCCTGTCAGGTCGGGTATCATTACCTCTGCACTTCTGCCAGTTCGGGTGTCATCACCTCTGCTGGGGCAGACAACCGCCACTACTCTCTTTGTCAGAGCTGTCTCTGTGGCTGGAGGTGGCGGTGGCAGGTGGCCGTTGAAGTGCAGCTGTCAAGCGTCAGATCCTAAGTCAGCTAGGTCCGCCGCCTCAGGATATGGACTCCTTTGGTGTCAGGTACGATTGTTCAGTTCGGCGGCCTGGAGACGAAGTGCCAGAGTGGTGTGCGAGGTGGTCTTGAGTTCGGATAGAGGTGTAGCTCGAACTGCCCTGTGGTGGGTCAGTTCGGGTTGTTGCCCTTTGCGCTCCTTGTAAGGCTCGAGGTCAAAGGGAGAGTTCAGGCTCCTTTTGGGGAGCTCGGACCGCTGGTTCCTCCTCTCGAAGCTCGTGCCTTGAACGTACTGCCGTGCTGATCTATTGCCTCTGCCAGACCACCCTCGGTTGTTTCCACATGTTGGGTGATCAAGAGGTCGGGCCAAATCTTCCTTCATCATTTACAATAATGCTTTGCCTTACCAAACCGTGCATAAATTAGAGTTGGTCCGGACCGGAATCGGGTTGGCCCCGACCAATGACCAAGTTCTAGAAGGCTAACGTACAGCAAGGATTCTGATTTCTGGATTCGTAATACATGGTTCACACTTCACAGGAAACTGTAGGAAGTAGGAACGAAGAGGTGGAGCCATAAAAAAATCAGAAGTCAGTAAGGTTTCCACCGAGTCGTGAAGGTGAGGTTCGTGGTTCTTCTGTTAGCGGAATCTTCTTTCTTTTCTTTAACTTTGTTTCTGATCTTCTGTTAGACTTGTTATAGAAGGAAAAACCTGTTTGAATTTTAGGGATTTATAGCAAGCTATGCAATATGAGTATGTGATCGATTAACTGGAGACTTACTAATTCTCTGCAACAAGATTCATTGAAGTAGCTTCTTTTTTTATGATAATGGAGTCCGTTTCGTTGGACATTATGTATTTTAATTGATTTTATCTGGTTTTAGTTAGAATAATTATATGGAGTTTCCAGGAGGATGGAATTGGCAAGGCAACCAAGAACTCTCATCAGAGGAACTCGATGATTGTTTTATCTCTTTCTGTTCGATATGGTTATAGAAATTCAAATTCTAAGAGTTATTGTTTGCAATGCTGAACCCGCGAACCTCTTCAAATGGTCCGGAGTTGGTCGTTCTCAATTTCTGGTTAATCTCGGATTTGGGACTTCGAATCTTTATGAATTGGCTTGAATATCCTTGAGTAGTGAGGAATTATGCATTGGTCTGATGTTGTCAGGGAATTGTTTGTTGGTTCGATATTGTTATGCAGTTATGCTGCCGTGTTCTATTGTGCCTTCTTTGAGGAATTAATGGTTGGTCCCCCCGTACCTAAATGAAAGCACCATGAATAGAGAGGCTAATCGTTTCTGGTAACCATGTCATAAATATGCTAAGGAGCCTAGTACACTGGATAGATTATTAAGTATCCTGATTAGTTTTGATGACTGACCCTTTGAAATCCAAATTGAAGAGATAGTGGGATCAATAAAGGATTCTTACAATGTAGTGCTATAAAACTCAGATGATCGAGAGGGGAAATGGGGAGGTCAGAATTTGTACACGTAAAGGAAAGCTTTTCCCATTATTTGTTTGGCTGGTGGAGTTAGCAGCAATGTGAAAAAAAAAAAATGATAGCCAGCAAGTACTTTTAGCCACATCCACCTGATCTGGAGTTTTCTTTACTGTATGTTTTAACACGGTTGGCTTTTGAAGGAAAAAATGGAGAAAATGGATAGCTTGCCTTGTTTCTTCATTTGCAACCACATGCAATGGAAAAAATGATAGCTACCAAGTACTTTTAGCTACATCCACCTGAGCTGGAGTTTTATTTATTTTGGACTATTGCCCTAATGGCTAAGCCAAAGTAGAGGAGAAAATGCCTTTCTTATTGTGTCTCATTAGCAACGCAATTTTTTATGTTTGAATAAATTATTTACTTGCTAGTTTTTCGTAGTTTGTGGTGCATAGCCCAAGATGATCTGTTATCACTCTTTCTTTTCATTATTGTGGCAAAGGCTCTAAGTATATTTCTAGTAAGGTTGTGGAGGGGGGAGTTCAGAGTTTGATTTTGTTATATGTGGCTTTGGTGATAAGAAAAGGTAGAGTGGAATTGGCTTGAGATTTGGTGCTTCATCCATGATTACTTTCTCAATTGACCATCTTGTAAACTGAATTGTTTTATCATATGCGGGCTGGGTTTGTGATTCAGTTCAGAGTTCAGAGGTTGATGTTTGTCATTTGTGGCTTGGGTTGTTTCACTTTTTAAGGTTCTTATGATTGACCATCTTGTAAACTGAATTATGATTTGATAAATGTTAGTTTTCCATTGCAATTGTATAATTGATAAATCATCTTTTACTACACCTTATTTATAGGAAATATGGGAGCTGTGTTCTGTCTCTTTTGGAATTGAGTGTCATTCCAGCTCTTTAATAAAACTGATCTGTGTACTTGGCACTTGGAAGTAGAAAACTGAGAAATCTTCAGTTTGTGAAACACTCCATCCAAGTCTTGTGAAGTGATGACCAATATTAGTTTGGAGACAAGACAGACAGTTACTTGTCTAGTCTTACTTTCATAATATTTGAAAGGGTTTCTGCTTTTACATCATTTTGTCCAGATTTTGGTTCAATTGTTGATGGTGTTTTCTGATTTTGACATAACTTTTCTTTATTAGTGATATATCTTTTTCACTCCTCTAATGTCTTATGATTTTTGCATGGTTTGTTGACTAACCTACCCTTGATAATGTACACTTTTTTTTCTGACCAGAAAGAGGAAAAATGAATCTGCTGAAGATATATTTCAATTTTACAAGAATTCCTGTCAATAGGTCCCATTATAATTACTCAAACATCTACAAGACATGCCTCTGAAACTTTATAAGATATTATGTTTTTTTTTTTATTAATACTGTATAAGATATTATGTTCTTACATTTTTTAAGCACATAGCTTGATCACGAGATGAAGAAACCTTATCCACAGGAATGTCATCTTGTAAGAGCTTGTATAATGGGGCTAGATTGTAGGAATCGGGTTATGTAAGAGGTACCTATGATCTTAGAGATCCCAACAATATAAATCTGCCTTGGTGTTTGGTTGAAAATCTTATTAATCTTGACAGGTTTTAGTAGTCGACCCTGACAGCAGTAATCTTGTGTATTTAATCAGAAAAGAAAGGTAAAAGAAGAAGAAAGAAAGTTCAAAGTAGCAGAAGAGTGGTAAAAGAGAGAAAAAAGAATCATGGCTGTTAGTTAGTCAGTCCATTCTCATTCATCTAACAAATAAAGGTGTAATTACAAATATGACCCCTATGTGGTGGCTGTAAATAATAAGACATGAAAAAAAGCAAGTAGGCCCATTAAGTCAATGGGTTGGTATGCCCGGTTGAGTTTAATTTCATGGTGAAAGACATTAAATCAAATGTTTGATTGGAATGTTGAAGACCTTTCTCAGTCAGTTTCCTTAGGAGTAATGCCACTATTGAATTTTCAGTTATTTACATCCTTCAAATTCAATGATGGTATAAACTACTCTACTTTTAGCTCAATATTCTAGGGAAGACAGTAAAATAATCGGCCAGACAACTTTAAATTGATTGAAAATTACCCATAAAAGTAACAATTTACCAATAAAAATTAACAATTATGAGAAAAAGGTCTCTAATAAAATGGTTTAAGATCGTTTATTTTCCTTTTTGTTTTTTGATTGGTATTTTTTGGCCTTTTTGTTCCTCTTAAAAAGCTTAATGTGTATTTGTTCAAAAGGTATGGTAGCAGACACAAGTAGCCTGTATAAGCCAGGAGCTGTACAGAAGAAGCTCTAATATCTAAAGGTCAAAAGTACATGCGAAAGGGTACTATATATACAATGTATTAGAGCTAAACAAGAAGTCAACATATGGTAATTTGCCGACTCTTTTTCATAAGACCAGTTATGAAGAAGTCGTGCCAATAGCTTTTCTAAGAGTTGCCTCCAGTGGTTCTTTTTTATTAAAACCATGGGTATTCCTTTCTTCCCAATTAGCCAGATCCTCAGAAAAGGAATATCAAACTATTTTCAAATATTTGATCCTAAAGATCAATAGATCATTGAACTATTCCTAGCTATCTGTTGGGTCTAATCACACGTGTTACCATTCAGTTTTACATTTGGACTAATCAGCTTGTGTGCATTATCATACCTTTTAGAAACTTTCTCTTTACCTTCTAGAATAAGCTCAATTACGAAAAGCATATCGACTCCTTTATTTTGCAACCTGAAAACTGATACAATTTTGGTTGCAACTCCCTTTTATAATATCCTTCACTAGGCACAATTGTTCTCTAATTAACAGGTTCATATAGCAAGACTTCAATCACGATTTTGGTTGTTGTTGTTGCCTTTTCAGGTCTTTCACAAGTTTGGGCACTGGTTCAGTAAAGGTTAGGCAGGCTATACTGACATGGGAAACACATCCGCAAAGCCTGCAAAGCCAGAAAAGGAAGAGATTCTAGTGAAAGTTGTGCCTCCACTTGACCGAGCACTCGTCAAGTGGCTTGCTCGAGATCTTGAGAGAATCCATGGCTATGCTCCTAGAAACCCTCGTACTGTGAAGCCACCAGAACATTATATTGAGTACATGCGCTTGAATGGATGGTTGGATCTAGACCTGGATGATCCTCACCTGGCTCACTTATTCAAGTAGAAGGCCTTTGTTTTGTATATCATCACAGGAAATTTAATTCCAGCTCTGTATAACAGGACCTACTTGGCAGAATCTTTTAATTCAAATTTGGTGAAGAGCATGTGCATGATTAGTTATAGTCATTTGGTATTTGGGTATGCTGTTAAGTATGCTGCCTTTTCTAGGATTGCCAGCCTTAAGAGGGTGTTCTTCAATGTGAACTGTTTTACTTGTTGTGAGTTGCAAAACAAAGTAAAATAATCTGGTTTGAAAATAAATTGTTTCTTAAAATAAAAAACATGAATAACATCTTGGTCGTAAATGTGTTTTTTGTTTCTAAAACTGAAACAAAAAAATGAGCTAATGAATTTTGGGTTTTTGTTTTAAATCATACGATATGAACCAGGCATCTTTCATTGTGGCAGCCCGGTAGGAACAGGGCACATGCCGTCGCCTGTCCAATTTAGAAAGCTGGCATCTTTCATTTGATTATCCCGGAAAGCGTGAAGATATGAACCACTCCAAGAGACCAAGACTCATTTGTATTGCAAAAAAAAAAAAAAAAAACTCATTTGTATGATGTATTGTATTGCTTTGAGTGGGGTAGGTTCCAATCCATCGAGTTTGAGATCGAGGCTGTTGCCACTCGGTACTCGCATTATTAGCCTGTGCAAATTACAAACCCACAAACCCAGTATATACAGCTAGATCTCAGGACCTCTAAAATATCATCATATCAGATGGATTAGACGTTTAACATCGTGATGTTTGCTACTTTGCTGAGCCTGAGACTTGAAATTCTAAATGTCTTTTATTTCCTTTTTTTTTTGTAACTCTAATAAGATTTGATTAATCAAAGGAAAACTTCCAGAACTTTTAGAAAGAAGAAACAAAAAAAACAAACAAACGCTGATACGGAATCTAAAGGAGACTAATTCTTTTAAAGGGCCCGCCTGGAAGGGCTTCAACAATCAACATTGATCCGAAAATAGCCTTACTGTAGATCAACTTTGCAGTTCATTCAAGCCTATTTTTCGCTTTCCGGATTTTTCACTAAATCCGACTTTATAGTTTTACTGTATATCAATTTTGCAGTTCATTCAAGCCTATTTTGGCTTTCCAGGTTTTTCACCAAACGCGACTTTTATAGCGTTCCATATGAAGCCTAATTTACATACACCAGAATCTATAGCAGGAAGGCCCTCCGAAACAGTCACAAAATGTTAAGTTGGGAAGAACAAAACTGAATGTATTCAATCCAGGGTTTGACACTTTGACAACCCCCAATCTAGCTGTTCTTTGTTGCCCTTGACCTTGGAAGGAGCGACGATAAGCCTATTGGCAGGCCGTTTGGTTGTACTTTCCAACCAGCTGTAATTAGGGATTTAGGGGTCTTGGGTCCATGAATCCAAAGCTGAAAACTCCCCTAATACCAAAGCTGGTTTCCTTATTTTCCTGGTTGGGTCTTGGCGTTGGTCTATTGGTCATAAGGAGCATTTCTTGTATCTGATGGTGCAGTACTGTTACTACTGTAATAATAGATGAAACCTTAAACTTTTTTGTTATTTTTCCTTGGCGCATGAAAGTAATGAGATTGGCACTGAAATAATATAAGAGAAGCAAAAGAATGTGCTCTGAATGGTGCAGTACTGTTACTACTGTAATAATAGATGAAACCTTAAACTTTTTTGTTGTTTTTCCTTGGCGCATGAAAGTAATGAGATTGGCACTGAAATAATAGAAGAGAAACAAAAGAATGTGCTCTGAATGAGGGGAATGTCCCTTGCATTTTTTTCCAGACCTCTAGTCTACTCTTAACACGAATACAAAACTCTGCTGGACCTCTCCGAATGGCATAAGATGATATGATGAAGCGCCTTTTTTCCTTATATTGCTGCAAAGTACTCTTTGCTGAGCTTGGGGTCTGGTTTCATGGATTTCTCTCCAGGCTTCCACCCAGCTGGGCATACCTCATCTGGGTTCTCTTGGACATATTGTAATGCCTGTGAAGTGATGAAAGAAAAAAAGCATCATTATTGATTACTAACATTAAATCATGTAGAGCAACAAATGGTATGCTCCCCTATTTCTTGCTTTTCATATTTAAAGTATAACATTAATAATCACCTGGAGTGTTCTCATTGTCTCATCAACACTTCGGCCAATGGCTAGATTATTAATGGTGGAGTGTTGAATAATTCCTTCCTTGTCAATGATGAATAATCCTCTCAATGCAACTCCCTGTAGAAAGAAAAGTTAATGCTAAGATGAAAACTAACTTTTCTAATGGCAAAAAACCATATAAAGAGCATCAACTTCAATTATGATGTTGTACGCTCCCTTTAATGCACAATATTCTCGGATTCACCAAGTAGTTTCTAGACAAGGCTCCTTTCTTATAGATAAAATACTGGGGGAGCTTTGGATTAGAAGTAGGTTTTGAAATGTTGGCAATCTACTGAACCAGACTAGGTTCAGGTTAGGCCCCAAATGGATTGCTGTAAAGGCATTGGACTGGAAGCCAAAAAGTGGCCTGAAAGCAAGGTCTGCCTGTAAGCAGGGTTTTTATGTGAAAAAAGCATGATCTTGTGAGATATTTCTAATTTCCCCTATTGCCATTCAGGGATTTGATACACTACCATGTCACTAGAACCGCTATGGGGTGTCACTTATCCTTTTTACAGACAACCAGATTACTTCTGCATGCATTTGGAGACAAACATACCTGGTCTGGAATCAGTACACCATAAGATTTTGAAATTGATTTAGTCACATCAGAAATCAATGGATACTTCAGATCACCAAGTCCACCTGACTTCCTATCTGTTTGGACCCATGCAAGATGCGAAAACTACAAGAAGTTTAACATATGACCATCAGAATGTAAGAAATAGAGATTCCCACTTTCCAGCATGAAGAACAATCCTAGAAAGAAAACAATATTCAGTCATGTATCTGGGATTTCATCTGACTCAGTAAAGGCTTTATGAAACCATTGAATTCTCAAGCAAGTACTGCAAAATGAAAATCCCCAATAATATCAGAGCCAACATGTTGAGACAACATGGACTACAGATTTTTTTTTCCTTTTTCTATATACAGTATTTTTTTTTAATTTCCTTTGAAGGGCTACATAACAGGGGATAGCCTATTAGCCCATCCCAAACCCAGGTGCAGGCAGGATTCAATCCCAAGTCTCCACTGCAACCAGAAGGAGACCTTACCAACCCGCTGGTTGGTACCTTGCTTTTCTATACACAGTATTTTGCAAATGACATATGTAATTAAATAATAATTTTAAGGAATAAAGAAAAGAACAATATACAACTACAGGGTAGCACAATATTATATGCTACACTTAATTATGTGGAAATATGGTAGTTGGTACTCTCTAAAATCAGAACCTAGGTAAGTATGCGTGTAAAATAAGAAAAAGAAGCCAAAAGCCTAGATGCTGAGAAAAAAATACTAACCCCTCTAAAACAAGCTGCTCTCAGTTATCCAGGCCATAAGAGGGGCAGACTAGATAAAGGCCTAACTTCTGGCATTTTTTGTACGAACCACAAAGTGACCATTCTAGTTTTATATAATAAGAATATATGCAGCTACACTCAGCCCAGTAGGCTATGCTAAATGGACATCACAACATGGGTGGGTACTATACCCATTACCACATGTGGAAACTAACACCAACCAGGCACTTTAGGGGACTCCTCTTTGTGACATCTGTAATATGTATTAAAGAACATCAAAGTATTAGGGTAAAACTTCGACATAACTGGTAAATTTGTAATATATAATAATTTAGCATAATCAAAATTTGTTTGCTTAGTGTTATTTGCACTGATTTATGCATCTGCATTTAATTTTTTCTCCTCAGCAATTATCAAAGCCATGTCATTAAAAAATGTAACTTAAAACTTAAGTATCAGTTATGTCCATAAATCCTTTTCCTTTTCAGGCTTCCTGAGTCTGGCCCCCATTACTCGCGTCAGGTTCTGGCACTCATACCAGTATCCATGTAACATAAAAGAAGAGCACAACATCCTGGAGTATTAGGTAGAAATATTCTACAAGATGTTCTATAGGTAAGGCATACTTTACTTTTCTTCACATCCCCATGGATATTTTCTCAGTTTAATACAAGCAACACTTTACCATTTTTAATATAAATACATTTGTGTGCATGAAGTAAGAAAAAGAAGCCAAAAACATTAAAATAATCTAAAGTCTACATGTTAAGAATGATGCCAACCCCTCAAAAAAGTATTACCCTATCCTGGTCTTCAGTTATCCAGGGTCATCGGAAAGAAAACTGGATACAAATCTAACCTTCAACATTTTTTGCAAGAAGTGACAAAGTAGCCACTCTAATTTTACATAATAAGCAGATATGAAGCAACAAAGAGTAGAAATTCTTTTTATCATAAACATATATCAATTGATAAGGACATTGTTTTTGCATATGGGCCCATTGATAAAATCTTGGCCTGAGAGCAGACACTTTGTGACAAAAGACTGCCAAAGGTTTGACCAACATCCAGTCAATCCCTCTCAAGACCCCAGATGGTTGGGACCATGGACCACCATTGAATAATGGCCCTTCTGTCTTAATGAAGGCATGTAGAAAATTACCAAAACAAAAATATATTATAATTAAGCTTCTTACAGGTTTAAAGGGTAATCAATCTACTATCAAGCAGTTCACGGAGAGAAATCATCAATGGTTGACTTTGGTGCAGATCAACTAGTTGATCTCCTCATCTCCATTATAGAAACCTTACAATGCCTTTTTTCTTTAAGCAAACAGTATAGAAATCTTTTCATGTCACATAATATATACTATACAATCATACAATGCATCAAGAAAATGACATGCTTAGAAGACGATGATATCAAAATACTTAAGTAAATTCCTTTTTCAGGGGTAAGGGTGTGCAGGACCACTTACTACACTGTCAATGGAAACACCCAGTATTTCAGTGTTTAGCTTCTCAAAATCTGCATATCTATCACTGAAAGCAGTGATCTCTGCAAGCAATGAAGTAAAGGGAAGGATGTAAAAAAAAAAAGCAATGCCCAAGACAATCCCTTCAATTAGAATTTCCTTTTGGGTGTGAAACTCACCAGTTGGGCATACGAATGTAAAATCCAAAGGATAGAAAAATAGAATCACATATTTCTTCCCAATATAATCAGACAATTTCACCTGTAATGAGGAACCCTGGTTAGGAATAAAATTAAGTATGAATATATGCAGTACTTATGTATTTCAATGATTGTTTGCACTGAACCTTCTGTACCAACCATGTTCCAATTTTTCTAGAATGAGATTAAGTTCAAATAACTATAAAATCAACAGTCATGTATGTGTATCACATAATCAGTATGGACATTATTAAATGATCTAGCACAATTATTATATGCTTAGCTGCTGCTACACTGTCAAATGCCACTTACGGCACCTTGGGTCAATCATCCAAAATGAGGGAGAACCAAAGAAGGTGTTGCCCATAGAATTAGAGCAAGGTTATTAAAGTTGAGTAATGCATCTAGTGTGCTGCGTGACCAATGTGTGCAATAAAGACAAAAAGGGAAATTATATAAGACGGTCACAAGACTAGCATTGCCATTTAGAATGAAGTGTTGGACAATCAATAAACATGTTCAAAAGCTGAGTGTAGCTGAGATTAGTATGTGGAGATGGAAGAATGTAAGATTAAAATGCCTAGAATCAGAAATGAGAGCATCAGACAGAACTTAGGAGTAGCTCCAACTAGTGATAAGATAAAGGAAAGTCAACTGAGATGGCTTGTCATGTACATAGATAAATAATCACTTCACCAATTAGAATGAGTAATTTGGTAAATAAATGGCTCTAAAAGAGCAATAAGAAGGCCAACTAGAAATGTGGCCTGAAGTGCTAAAAAATGATTAAGGGTTTACAGTTCCAAGGAAAACATGGTTCTTGATAGGACAAAATGGAGGGACAAGATACGTATAGCTGACAAGTCACAACAAATAATTTGGATTAAGGCTGAATTTAGTTAATTTGAGCTGCCATGCTGTCGAATGGGTATTTTTATATGTAGGAAACATAAGAAAAAGACCCCAAAAAGTCAAAAAAGGAATTCTAAATCAAAGCACAGACAAGAATAAAAATCTAGATAGAGCACCTTGTCTCAAACTTGACAAGGAAATGATCAGGTAAAGAAAATGATTTGTTCATTATGTAACCTATGACTAGGAAAATGGTCATTGCAGGTTATCAATTTTCTTACAAAGATCACTCCTGATCAACTCCAAGCATTTGCTCCTATAACATACCTTGATGAACTCCTGATCAAAGACGGCTTCTGCTTCAAAATCAGGTGCCAGATTTCCAACCAATGGAAGTTCACTCTGTGCAAAGGAAAGGAAGGCAAATCATACATCAAAGAAAAAAGTAAACAAGGAAAAAAACGTATAACTTGTAAAGCATAAAGGAAAATTGTGAAATCGATAGACATAAACAACAAACAACTAAAGGATGCATTAAGTGCCTATCATTTAGTTGAGCATGCCTCTACAGATATGAAGAGGTTTGTGGTTTTCTTATTTCTTCTTTTTTGGGCACTTAGAGAATTAAGTGCAGTATTTTTTGTAGAGACTATTCATAATGTTAAGGTGATACAATTGCTCTTGGGTTATTGTAATCATGTTTGAGATGAATCTCCAAGGATAGAAATCAGTTTTCTGGTGGGTTAGCTATAAAGAGGGTTAAGCAGGATGCAGTATGGTAGGTATACATTGCCATAAAGTGTTTTGTATCATTTTGATGCTTGTATTGAGTTCGGGTCTAGTGGGTACACTCAGTGAGCACACTGAATAAGCATGCAATCAGTATGTGACAACTGTCCTGCAAGTGTGCCTCCCAGAAAACTCATGCAATGACTTAAACATGGTGCTGAACTTGCACATTGACTGTCTGCTGCTCATCGAGTGTGCCTACCAGATCCAGACAGTTTGTACAGCTTTGAATTGCCTTGTAGCTTTTATTTTGATATTCAATGTACCATCTCTTTCGAATTGTAATACTTATAAGCATACTAACTACCAAGAATAACATAACAAAAAGATACTAGTTACATAAGCCCTTAAAACTTCTAGCTGAATATTTTAAATTAAAAAAAAAAGCAAATTCAATGTTTGTTTGATGGAAAATCAGGGATTTTTCAAAGGGTGGCTTTTCTCCTAATTTATGGCATTGAATTCTACACAAGTCAACAAAGTAGAAAATCTTATTTGATATAAAAAAAATCATCCAAACACGTAAATTTAACCACAGAATTTCAACTGGAAATGCCAAACTTGATGAAAGCGAAATGAAAATTAACCAAATTCAATGTTTGTTTGATGGACGCTCAGCACTTCTTCAAACGATAGCTTTTCTCCTAATTTACGGCAACAGAGAACTACCCAATCAAATCGAGAAAGTAGACAATCATATTTGATATAAAATAAAAACATTCAAACACATAAGCCTAACCGCAGGATTTCACCTAGAAAATGCCAAATTGACGAAAACGAAATAAAAGCCAACTAGACCAACATCCAATCCAGAAGAACAGTGATAACGATAGCGATAGCATATTCACTAGAGTTTGAAAAACATCAATTCAGCAAGAACAAATCACATTAAAAACGAAAAGCTAACAGGATACACATGTTAACATGGAACAATAACAGTCAGTCCATCTTCACTTAAGTTCGCGACAATCTATTTCATCAAGACAAAGGAAAAATTACAAGCACAAAACCCAATAGAATACACACTATAACATAGATTATTAATAACTGACTCATCCGCATCTGAGTTCCAAAACAGCCTTCAATCAACCAGCACTGAACCGAAAGCAGATTTCCCGGAACATAGTAATTCTTCCAACAAAATAAAAATTAACCAAAACAAGTGATAAAAAAATAACCACAACTATAAATAGCAAGCTTGTCTTACAGAAGCATTGACGACGAAGTTCCTCCTCGAAGAAGAGCTGCGAGTAGAGAACGGTCGAGATACGCGGGATTGGAAAGGTTTCCTGAGACCATTGAAACTCTTAGCAATTGTTAGGGTCTGGGAGAATGGCTTCGAAGGGAAAATAGATGCCAGGGGCATCTTAGATTTGCAGGAGAAGGCGCTAGGGTTTGAAGAGAGAATGGCAGGAGCTGAGCAGGCCATGGCGTCTGTTGGAAGTTGGAACTCTCTCCCTCTCGTCTCAGCTAGCCACTCCACTCACAGTCACAGAGGCACGGTCTCTTTGGTGGAGAAAAGACAGACGAGTGGATAAGTAGAGCGTTTCGACGCGTGTAAATATCACAGTTCACACAACTCCACGGATCGCGGAGTGAAGATTCCGGCCGGGTCCCATAACCCGGCTCGGAAATTTTCGGGACCGGGCAGCCATTTTCCTTTTAGGCCCGGCACGGACCGGAACTGCCTGCAAATAATGCAAGCCGGAATGTTATGGGGGATATTCTAGATGTGCAGCATGTCATGTTCTTCGCACGGTTTTTCTGGGATCACATTTAACTGAATGACTTCTCTGTCTTTTTCCTTCTTTTCCATACCTTTTCCTTCAAATCAAACATTACTTTAAGGTTTACTTTAATTGCATTGCCATTTTATTTGCACTAGTGGCTTGGTTTGGAAGGAGTATAGTTGTATAAATACAAATTTATAAAATGCAAAACTTTATATTTATATTGTTTTGCATGTATTTGTACTCTTTTTAGATTGAGCGAGTATAAATATAGGAAAGTACAAGTAAAAAATAAAAATTTTGAGTTGTGTTTTACTTTATTTTGTTTCGGGTTTTATTTTATTTCATTTGTATTGAAATCAAAAAAATAAGATAAAATTTAAAAAACAAAAAAAAAAAGAAAACAGAATTTGCACCCAAACCATTTGCACCAACATAGCCTAAAAGATATATAAAGTATTATACTTGTTAGTAATGTTGCTTTGATTTTTTTTTTTAATTTATAAATCATCAACGTTTTAAAAAATGACCTGGAAATGGAATCATTCTGAGCATTGGTTTCCAGGTCAACAGTCTGATCATCCGGTTCGAATGGATGGCTCATTCTGACAACAAAATTAAAAAATAAAAAACGATCAAAAAACATTGAACGGATAGATAGATTAACGGTTCGATCACCCAGGTCAACGATTTATTGACTTTTTCAACGGTTTTTTATCAAATTCCGGGTTTTGAGTAAAATGGAACTAGTTGCTTGGACGGTTCCCGAATCAAATGATCCGACCATCCGGGTCAACAGCGATTCAAAAACGTTGTAAATCATCAAAAAAGCTGGCATACCATAGCAACAATTAACAAAGTAACAAGTATGCTTATCGGCACCTCCCACTCCACTCTAATAATGAAGTTGATGTCGTTGAAATAAACATGTTGGAGCAAATTCCGGGAGAGGATTGTGACTTCTAACCAGCTTTGTGAAAGAACAAATATATACATGTTGTATTGGCAAATTTGGGTTTTGATATCAGTATTGGGCAGGCGACAGGCTCGATTCCATCTTAAGATTGGACTGGCTCTAACTTGACGCAAATCCATCTGATTTGTGCCCCTGCTTTATTAATTGAGTAGAAAGGATTAATAAATATTTAAGAGGAAAGAAGAGATTTAATGGAGGGAGGGGAATTCTACAAACATTAACTATAAAGGGGTAGGGTTAAGAATGTTTGCTTGTAGTGCAAATAAATTTTCATTTATGCAAATTTAAGATAGTACAAATGATTTGAGTGCAAATTCTGATAAAACTTACCTTATATTTGATTGCAATACAAATGAAATAAATAAGACCTCAAACAGAATCAAGTAAAACCCAAAATAAAATTAAACCAGAATTTGAATTCTTTTCATTTGTACTCGGGTACATTTGTACTAATGCAAATAAGATTGCACTGCAACCAAATACAACCTTAAGAGGGTTTTTTGCCCCTTCTCAAGATCTCTTAGAGGTATTTTGTATATTAATAAAGAAACCTTAATCGAAATGGCTGAGGTTATAATACTCATCATTGTAAAAGTCATATATATGTGCCACTTCATCCTCCCTTTAATATTATTTTAAAATTTTATCAATATTATTTATTATTTATTTAATTATTTTATTTTATCATTTCTTAAAAGTTTATATTTTTATTATTTTATAATATTTTCTATAATATAATTTATTGTTATTTAAATAAAAGTTTGAGCAAATTTGTAAAATGTATATTTTTCAGACGTCATAACATTCAGCAATCAGTACAACTCCATTTCCTTCAGATGTTTGTAAAAAGCAAAAAAACAGAAAACAAATTTCGATTGCTTTAAGAGCTTTTTCAGAGTTTATTTTCCTTTTAGACTCCAGATTTAACGAATACCACCTAGATTGAACTTAAACATCCCACAGCCTAGCCCAGGCTATTTAAGTATTGAACTTAATCTAGTTTTCTTCTAGTTTCCTTTAGTTTAGTTTTATTCTTGTTGTGTGGTTTATTGGTAGCTTCTTACCTGTTTGTATCTCTCTAAAAGTCTTTTAAAAGTCTTTTGGAAGATTCTTTTTTTGTTTTTCTCTCGACATTTGGACGCTGCATCTCTTATCAAGTAAAATCTTTTTCATCATTATTTTCCTTTTGTTCGATCTCTTGAAATTCTCCTCTTCTATTTTCCTTTTCTCCTTCTTCTTTGATTTTCTTCTCTTATTTTCTCTCTCTTCCCTCTCCTCTGTGTTTTTGATCATCATAGATGGCTTAGAAGCTCTCAGTGAAGCTTTCCAAAACATGTTTCAGGAAACAATCTTCCTGGAATAGAGATGATAGGGGTGTCAACGGTATTCAAAAATCCGATTTTGAATTCGATATTCGACATAATCGAATCGAATTCGGAAAATTCAAATATCTAATCAGTCGAATTCGGATATCCTATTCTTACTGAATAGTTAATCGTATTCGAATTTGGATATAACCTGATTCGATTCGATAAATATCCGAATTCAATCGATTATTTAATTCTTATATACAATATATAAAATATTTTATATAATATATATATAATAATTAAGTTATATAAATAATTTATATATTTATATACTTTATATCAATAAAATATTTATTAATTATCTAAAATAATTAATTAATCGAATTCAAATCGAATCGAATATTCGAATATTTAATCAGATTTGAATTCAGATATTAATTTTCAATATCCATCAGATATCGGATTTTCTAATCGGATTCAAATTCAAATATTGCCTAATCCGATTCGAATTCAATATGTTTACACCCCTAAGAGTTGATAGATATGCTACCCCACATGCCTGAAAATCTCCAAGAGCAATGACATTTTTCTTTCATCTACAGGTTATTTCCACGGTTAACTGATCAATTTTCTAAACTAGAGCAAGGCCATTATAACCTTTGGAACTTAGGTCTGAACCACCTTCTTATTGCTCCTTTCCAACAAGGTCATTTTAGATTACGTTTTAGGATAGAAGATAATTTTATTTGTATTAGAGATAATGGGCCATGGATGCTTAATGGTCAATAGATTATTTTGAAGCCTTGGGTCCTAGGACGTCCCCAATATGAATAGAATCTTCATCAAATTGAACTTTGTGTTCAACTTCATGGTCTTCCCTATGAAATTCATTCAGAAAATATCGGTCATCCTATTTTTGAAAGAATTGGACCTATTCATTCAGTCTTTGTTATTCAAAATTATATAGAGCAAAAGTTTGTATCTCTATAGACCAACCTCTCAAAACAAGATGTTTCTTTAGTATACATAACTAGATCACTTTCTGGTATGAAGATCTCTCGGCGACCTGTTTTATCTATGGTCGAATAGGTCATCTTTTCCTCCAATGCTCTCAGCCCTTACCACTTATTACAGGGCAATCTTTTGATCAATATTTCAAAAGAAGAGTGATGCACCTCCCTAGTACTTAACTGAGAGCTAAACTGGCCATGCGATGTAACTGGAAGCGACCGGTTTTTCGAGATTTTGTGCAACTTCCTGTTCAAACTGACAACCTCCAAGTTCCTCCAATGACCAATCAACCTCAAACTCCCCATGTTCAACACTCCACCCCGCCTACTGATAGTGTTGCTAACCTTGCTATGGGCACCTCAACTCAATCCACTTCTGATCTGGGAACTAGTCACTTACCCACAATTAGAGTCTCTCCTCAAACTTTGTAGTTGGCTACCCGCACACAGGATACTCTCAACCGTATGCTTTTCTCAAACACTCTAAGAGCTTCTTCTTCTAGGGGAAAACGCCCCCATGTAGACCTCCTTGCAGGTCTGGATATTGAAGATACTCCAAACTTGACTACTCAAGTTTGGAGATTACCACTTTTTCAGTTGTTCAACATGGAAACTCCAACACTTGAAATGATAACTCTGAGCCCATGCATGCACCGGTTAGTTTCATAATCTTCCTATATTTTCATTTTTTTTAATGGTAAGGGCAGTGGTGCCTGGCCCTCAACAGCCACACCACTGCCAATGTTAGTCCTAAGTTGGAACTACCGAGGGGCTGCTTGTCCTAAGGCAATTCAAGGGTTAGAGTTTTGGTTCAAAGATACAACCCTGATTTTATCTTTCTGTGCAACCACAATCCCTAATGATAAATTGGATAAATTGGCAAATCTTCTAAAATATACTCATTCTTATTACTTCTTCCTGAAGGGCATGCAAGAGGACTAGCTATTTTTTGGAAATCTGGTATCCCTATTTCTACTTTTTTATAAATCCAAGGTACTTATTCCTAAAAATCTCTTTGCCTTTACTTGAAAATTGGTTAATGGGATTTATCTATGGATCATCAATCAAAGCCCACCGTAACACATTTTGGTTAAATCTAAAGAATTGTCTTGAAACTATAGATTTGCCTTATGTTCTGATAAGTTATTTCAATGAAGTTGAAACAGTTGGTATCCAGGATCCTAGCTCTTCTGGTATTTCTTCTAGAAGAATTTCTACCCAATATGAAAATCTAGTTTTGGACCAAAATCTTCTAGAACTTAGCATTCAGGGTGGAAGTTTAAGTTGGTCAAATAATCGTTCTTCATGTCTAGTAAATAGAACCCCATATAGAGCCTTGGTTTCCTAGATTGGATCTCAGCCTTTCCGAATGCAAAACTCTCCTTATCTTCTTAGTGGGGTTCTGATCACCACCCCCTAATCTTAGATATCAACCCCAAAAAATACCAATATCCAAAACCTTTTTCATTTTTATGAAATGTGGTTGCCTGATAACTCTTGTAAGGAAGTCATAAAGGACGGTTGGGATCTAAATATCAATGGCTTTGTTGCTTATAGATTGTCCCTCAAAATGGGTAGAATTAAATCTTATTTAATCATATGGACAAAAACAAATTTTAATGATCCCAATAAAACCTTGTCGATGCTTGAAAATCAGATTGTGGAGAGTGAACAAACTGCTCCCTAGGATCATACAAAACTAAATTCTCTATATAAAAAATTTGAGAAAATTCAAACCCAGGTTGAGAGATTCTAGAGACAAAAAATCTAGACAACTTTGGCTTCAATTGGGAGACAGAAATACTAGCTATTTTCATAAGAGTACCATGTTTCGTTAGAAAAGGAATTCAATAGATGGAATTAAAAATGAGCAAGGAAATTGTGACTAAACATAAACAAATAGCAGAAGTTTTCATCTCCTACTTTTCTAATCTCTTTACTTATCAACCTATTGGAGACCTTTCTTTCATCTAAAATCTATTTAACCCAACCATTTCCGAAGAAGATAATTTGTTCCTTACTCAATCCCATCAGATGAAGAAATCAAAGCAAGCCTTTTTAGTATATGTAGTCTTAAATCTCCAAGCCCTGATGGGATGTCAATTCTAGTCTATAAGGAATTTTTGGACTTAATGGATTCTAAAATAGTAGATTTTGCCAAAGAACTTTTCCAAAATAAGAAAATGCTAAAAAGACTGAACCATACTTTTAGCTATCTCATTCCCAAAAAGGTAGATTGTACCAAAGTCCAAGACTTCCGTCCTATCAATTTTTGTAATGTGTCGTATAAAGTCATAGATAAAATCCTAGCAAATAGACTTCGTACAATCCTCGAAAAGTGTATTGCCCCTACCCAAGCTGCTTTTGTCCCAAGTAGACAAATGATGGATAATACCATCATAACCCATAAAATGTTTCATTTCCTTAAAAATCATAAAAGAGGGTTATGGTTTGTGGCAATTAAACTAGACATGGCTAAAGCCTATGATAAGATTAAATGGTTTTTTCTCCTAAAAGTTCTAGAAGCTCTAGGGTTCTCAGAAGATTTCTATCAAATCATATTAGAGTGTGTCTCTTCTATCTCCTTTTTTGTCCTCCTTAGTGGATCACCTGAAGGAAAATTCTCTCCCTCTATAGGTCTTAGACAGGGAGATCCTTTATCCCCTTACCTTTTTATTCTAGGCATGGAATGTCTTTCTAGAATGATTTTGAAAGGTGAACAAGAGAATAACTTGAAAGGAATTTAGGTAGCAAATGAGGCTCCTATTTCCCAACTATTTTTTTATGATGATTTTCTTTTCTTTCTCCGAAACCATCGAGAAGATTTAGGCAACCTTAAACAAATCTTACACAAATTTCAAGAAGCCTTAGGACAACTCATTAACCTGGATAAATCTGGAATTTATTTTAGTAAAAACATTCATCCTATACATGAGAGAATGATTAAAAGGCAATTCCAAATTAAAACTCTTCAAGTAAATTCAAAATACTTAGGGCTTCCTCTAATCTAGGGAAGAAATAAGCATTCTCAGCTTTCTTTTGTTTTGGAAAATATTAAATCAAAATTAAATAAATGGAAAGCTACTGCTCTAAGCCAAGCAGGTAAATGAATACTCATTCAGTCGGTTCTTCAAGTTATTCCTGTCCATACAACAAGTGTTGCCCAGTTTCCAAACAAAACTATTAATGAAATTGAGAAAACCATTAGGAATTTCTGGTGGGCTAGATCTGATTCCAATCCTTACCCCTATCGTTGGTGTTCTTGGAACAAGCTAATTCAACCTAGAAACTTAGGAGGTTTAGGCTTTTAAGGTATTAAGCTTGTAAACAAAGTCTTGCTTCTAAAAGTAGCTTGGTGGTATCTTAATGAACAGTTTAGGCTCAAATCTGGAAATTAAAGTATCTTTAAAATAATAAAGTCTTCCCCTATGCCATTCCTCATTCAAGTTCATTTTCTTATTAGAAATCAACAATCCCTCAACTTCGAGATCTTTCTCAACAAGTAGGTTCTTTTATTTCAGTCACCTCCCAATAGAAAATTGAGCAATTCAATATGGTTTCCAAATGATTAATCAACCTACAGCTCCCAACCTAAAAAATCTGACCTTTCTCCAACCTAATTTCAAACGGTGCGTAGGATATGAACAATCTAAATCTTCATTTTGATCAGTCTAAAATACAAGATATTCTCAATACTTTCATTTTACCGTCTGATAATTCAATCTCTTGGGCATGGACTCTTCACTCCTCATGTAAGTTTTCAACTAAAGAAGCTTATAAACATCTCCATCTTCCCCATCTACAGAGACCTACGGATGATCTTAAGGTGTGCCTGAAATGGACTTGGACCCTTCCCATCCCTCCTCGATATCGACTGTTTCATGAAGACTAATTCGTGATTATCTTCCTGTTAAGGAGAAGATTTTAGATAGTTTGCAACATCATAATTATGTTTTGTGTCAAAATAATATAGAATCTGTTAACCATCTCTGTTTTGAATGTCCCAGTAACCTTAAGCTGGTATGACATTGCATTATACCAAGGTTCAAAGTATCGAAACATATCGGCCCGTATCGGCCGATACATATCATTCCGGGACCCCTCCGATACGCCCCTATAGTGGGTGTATCGAGGGTCTAACCGGTTCAGGGGGTGGAGGAGAACTAAACTGGCCCCCCTAAACCAATTTCAGAAAAAAAAAATTAAAAAAAAAATACAGCATCAATTCGCCCAATACGCCCATACCGGCATATTGGACGTATCAATATTTTGAACCTTGCATTATACTACATTTAATTGGCTTGAAATGAAAGTGTTTCAAAGACAAATCTATAAACCCTCATTCGATTATAACCAAAATCAATAGTGTTTTTCAGCGCCTCAATTTTCACACAACTATATCCACATAACACAGATGCTTCCTCCAAAGTTCATTACTGTAAATCAGGCTACTAACTGTATTATATTTGCAGATGCAAGCACTATTAACCAAACAACCTTCTCCTATAGAACTATTTGCATATCTTCCATCTTTGGATTGTCTTTGTATTGCAGGAAGAGGTCTTTGAATAAATCAATTAAAGAAGAAGAATCATATGCCATCTTTCAGGGAATCCAACAAGCTTCAAGAGACTACAAAAAACGATAGTCAGATTCCCAGCAAGTGATCAATGCTCTAAAGAATCAAGCGTCTATACATTGGTCGTGCCTAGCACTTTTGATGATGACCAAACAGAAATTATCCTCCTTTCTCTCTGTGCACTTTTGTTTTATTAATCGCTCTTTTAATGTTCCTGCTCACAGAATAGTTCATCAAGCTAAAACCATATACAGGACAGTTTTTTGTTTGATACTTACCCTTCAGGGATCCCAGATGTAAGACATTATGTATATATTTCTCCCAGCTAATATATTTCTTCATCTTTAAATAAAACGGCCAAAAATTTCCCTGGCTGTTAGTAGTTTCGTAATAATTAGATATTTTCTCTGGTTTTTTCTTGTTGCATGAAGTAGGTGAACACCAACATAACATAAGCCACACAAAAGGAGAACTCTAAACGAAGGGATAAAAATGTCCCATGGACTTATTTTCATGTATTGCTACTCTAAACACGCACAAATCTAGGAGTCAGTACAAGAAAACAAAACTCCGTTGGAGCTCCCAAATGACAATGTAGATCATATGAAGAAGCGCCCTGATTTATTTTCCTCATATTGCCGCGAAGTACTCTTTGCTGAGCTTGGGATCTGGTTTCATGGATTTCTCACCAGGCTTCCACCCAGCTGGACATACCTCATCTGGGTTCTCTTGGACATATTGCAGTGCCTGTGAAAGTAGATGAAAAAAAAACAACAGTACTGATTACTGTAAATAAATCATATACATCAAGAAATTGAAAGTTCCTCTCTCTCTCTCTCTCTCTCTCTCTCTCTCTCTCTCTCTCTCTCTATTTAGTACATTAAATATTAATACCTGGAGTGTTCTCATTGTCTCATCAACACTGCGGCCAATGGCTAGATTATTAATGGTTGAGTGTTGAATAATTCCTTCCTTGTCAATGATGAATAATCCCCTAAGCGCAATTCCCTGTATCGAAAAATTTATGCTTAGATGAAAACAGACTTCTTAAATGGCAAGAAAGAACCCATATTGACTGGAGATAAATCAGCTTCAATTATGATATTGAGAGAATCCTCTCGATGCGATGTTCACGTTATGGGGCCCCTCTTTTTAAGATCAAGTATTGGGGTTGCTTTGGGTTCGGAGTAAATTCCAAATATTGGACTGGAAGATAAAAAGGGGCCTGAAATGTAAGGCCAGTCGTAACTCGTAAACAAGGGGTTTTGTTTCAACATTTATATCCTCTTGTGATTCAGGGATTTGGTAAACTACCATGTTATTAGAACTGCCAGAGGGTGTCGCTTGCTGTGATTCAGGGGGTACACTACAACGACACTAGCACTAGTAAAATTAAATATGTTTTCATGTAGTAATATACGACTTAAAAAAAGGAAACAAGCTTTGAGGAATGTCATTCAATAGACAAGACATGTACCCCATAACTTGTTAAGACATTAAAACCACAAACAAAATATCATATGATGAAAAACAGAATGATCTGACACTTCCTCTTGGTTGGAATTTGTCATATAGAAAATAAATTAAATCTTGAAAGAACTGATTATTGCTTCACTCAAATGTAAGTTGACAACCTAGGGTATGTTGGTGTAGTCATTTCCTGTTTTCTACATGGCAGTTTCCACCAGCAACACATTTGCTCCACAAAGCTTTGGAAACTGTATATTGCCAGGATACTGATATTGGAAGCTGGAAAGAATCTCCCAGAACCTGGAAACAAGTTATCATCCCAGTGGGGAACATCTTTTAGGTAACCTATTGCTGACATAATATGTGGGGAAAATGAAGATAGACAACTAAGAAAAGGTTCCCACCAAGGTTCAAAGTATCGATACGTATTGGCCCGTATTGGCCGATACATATCATGCCGATGGCTTTCCAATACGCCCCTCCAGGGGTTGTATCGGGCCAGACCATGGTTCAGAGGGTAGCCAGGCCTCAAACCGACCCCTCTGAACCAGTTTAAAAAAATAAATAAATAAAACCTAGGCCGATACGCCCTACCGGCATAACGGCATATCATCCTGCATCGATACTTTGAACCTTGGTTCCCACTGCTCTTGGGTTGTGAATTACTGAAAACAAATTAATTAAGTGGAGTCTGTTTTCTCGAGGAAACCATCTCAACAAAACAATGACACACACTGTAGTAAAACAATGACAGATCAACAGGATGCTAGAAAAGCAGTCAAAGCCCATCGCTAGTCAATCAATCAAATGTTGAGATTCCAACCCCTACACAGCCAGATTACTTCTGCATACACTTCATAACAGAGCTGTTGCCAGTGACTGGCCATGCAAATTTATTTAGCATGTATCAGAAGCAACTTATAGCATGGATCCAAAGAGAAGAAAACAAGAGGAATAAGTAACTCATGAAGTTCACTCTGAAATAAAGAGTAAAGTGTGATCCATTTCTATCATTTGTAAAACATAAGAAATAAAATGATCAATTTAAATATAAGTAGAAGAAAACGGATCATTGAGCTGGGCAACCAGACCATCAGCAGTTCAACAGCCATGAAGTGAAATTATTCAAATTATACAATAGATATATCTACCAAGTGAATTATTGTTAGCGTAGGGTCATGTGACCACATTCCTAGACAGAAAATAGTTAATACTAGATATTTTGTTGACAAAAAATCTTTTAACTCTTCTTTTATGAACTAAGATACTGGATCAGGAAGAAACTAATTAAATATCCTGTGCCAGGATAGAGTAACAACATACCTGGTCTGGAATCAGTACACCATAAGATTTTGAAATTGATTTAGTCACATCAGAAATCAA